GCCTGCTCCCCCTCCCCACTGACTGGCCACCAGGGGTACACCAACCAAAAAAGGTTGAAACTCCTGGTCTAGAGTATGTAGCATTTCTTATACAGGTCTCTATCACGATCTTCTTGAATGAAATAAAAGGTTTAAAAACAAATGTAAAAAGCAACTAATTTGTGAGAGATGGATGTCACTGTAGGCTAAAATAAGAGGGTTAATGGCAAAATCCGAAGTGTGCTGACATCAATGGTAGAACATAAGAATCTTCTCAGAGCAGACAATGTAATTTACGTATCTATGTATCTTGTAAAATCGTGTGGCTCAAAAGATGTACACCACACTGTGCATGGTTTCCATATTCTCAAATGGCTTGATGCACATTAACAACTCTGCTCAGAAACAATAAAATAACAGATTCCATATAGGAATGCTATTTTTGGCCTCTCTATAAATCAGCAGCAGTGATAGGTATAACATTTCAGTAGATGCTGATCTACAGTTGTTAAAAATGTGTAAGAAAACGGTAAGCTATCAGGAGATCAGTCTAATCTAGGAGGCAGAGGAAGAGCTTGGAAAGCCAACACCAGAATTTCTTCCACATTATTCATTACTATAGAAACATAACCAACTTCTGGAATTACTTATTTTCTATGGTATTGTCAGGAGCCAGGGTGCCAGTGGCTCTCCAGCTAGTGCCTGCTTATAAGCAGCAGCCCTTCCAGTGCCTAGCAGGCTGCTCAACAAGACAAATACTTCCCCATCTACCCTTGGGCTTCTGATTTCTTGGTTCTTAGTTTCTTGATTCCTGCTTTTGATTCTTAGTTCCCCCATCTTCTCTGCCTGATCCTAGTGTCCTAGCTCCTGCTTGTTCCCGATTTCCTGTGCCCTGGGTCCAGCTCATTAACTGCCTAGCTTCATCTTTGTTCCTGGTTCCTGTCCATGGGTTCCTGGCTGTAGCCTGATTGCTTGTTCCAGACCTCAGCTGAGCCCACTGTGCTTCCACAGACTGCCTTGCCACCTCCTTGACCTCTTGGGCGCAGGCAGAAGCGACAATTTCCACCCAGTCTGGCCCCTGAAAGCGTTCGACAGCCAGGACCTAACACAAGTGCACAGCTGCAGAGCATTTTAAAAGGGCCCAATCCCATGACAATCTGAATCCTCATTACACAAGGGTTCAAATGAAGGTGCTCCAAAGTAGAGAGCCTTGATTAACTTGTATCTAAGTGAACCTGCAGCAGGGCTGGGCTGATGCAATTCATAGGGAGCTTGTTTCTGGGGGATGCTCAGCCAGCACTGGAGGGTGAGGTGGGTTGACTGGAGCCCCCTATCTGAGCTCCTCCAACTCTAGTGCAGGCTGGGAAAACCCCCAAATGGACCTCCCTCCCCTGCCTTCTCTCCCTCCAATCCTGAGACAGCACCAACAAGCTTGAAGAGGGGGAAACAGGGCAAGGAAAAGAGACTGCAGAGATTGGCTCCAAATTGGAGCTTGATCCCCAACCCTCCTGATACAACAGCTAAAGTCTGTTGGATTGGAAGGACTGGTATAACTCATGGCACTTTCTGTGAAGCACCATGAGTTAAACCGGGGAGCCACACTTCTGTCTGTGCCCCTTGTGCTCCAGACTCCAGTCCAGACCCATGTCCCCATGACTTAGCCTGGCTATTATCCATATCTAAGTCCCCCACAGCTTTGGTTCCATGCTCCTGACTCTCTGGCTAGTGATTCTGGTATAGTTCCCTGCTTCCTGTTCCTAACCCTATTCCTCCAACTCATGGTTCTACCCAGGCTCATGGTTATACCACCTAAACTCATTTCCTATAGACCTCAGACTCCTTGACCCACCTAGTCATGTATGTTCCTGATCCCCTGGGCTGTGACCCCCTAGGGTCAAGTCCCAATCACCTACCCTGATAGGTACTTACGCAATACCAGGAGAGTGCCTTCTGTTCCTCCCTCCACACAACCTTTCTCCTGGGAACACCTCAGTGTTCTATTAATGCCTGCAATGTATGATAAAGATGCCACAGATCCTTTCAACTGCCCATTTATTGATAGCCTCCTTAAAACCATGTCATTAAAGTGAGTAAGACAAATAAATAAAGGAACATAAAGATATCTATGCTATCTTCTGGTCCATTAAAATTAAGTTTACTATGATCAGATAATCTGGGAAATGGGTTATAGAGTGCTTTGGCACAATTCTTCCAGGTCAAGCAAATTCCCCATGTATAAACTGGCCAAAATTTTATTTTACTCAGAAACAGAAATGAAACAAATTAATCAGGAATTATTTGATGTCACATAAGCAATCCCACTGAAAGGGAGAAGTTTAATTCTTCATTACTGAATGCATACCCATTCTTGCAGACTGAACTCTGTGGGTTTACAGATTGCAGGGAGTATTAACTGAAGCATCATCTAAACATCAAGCTGATATTTTGTAAGTGAAAGCATTTGTCATGTATTGTTTTATGCAAAACGTCAGTGTTGACAAAAAGTTGAGGCAGGCAGCATGTGCATGCCTTAATGAAAGTCAGACATATACTGTAACTATCAGGAGTCTGTCCAGATTTCTCCTGGCAATAAGGAGATGTAAAGAACTTAGCTGTAAAAATCTAGGTCATGTAACATTTACCCTGCCACTTAACACACAATTTGACATTGGGCACTGCTTTTTTCTCTTGCAGGCTACAAAAATAAAAATTAAAAAAATAAAAATCAAACAAAAATATGAAAACAACCCTAAAGAAGAAAGGTCATGTTTGAAATCCACATTCAAATACAACTTCAGCCACAACCTGCTAAAATTCAGCACACTAGCACATGGTCTAAAGCTACTTGAATACTCTGCAATTTATGCATCCATCCTATGACATCAACACTGAGACAGGTGAGACAAAGGAAAAATCATCATTTTAAATGCTGGTACGTTAGAGTAATGCAGAAAACAATTTCAGATGCTGTGTGTAATGATGACACGGAAAAATTGGGAATGTAAATTTTTGCACATCCTCTTAAAAATCTTGATTGTAATCAGGAAAATTACAAGTTTTGTGAGTACAGATTTACTTCATCTTGGCTTTCATTTCTCCCTAAATTCGTACCAGTAAAGGAACAGTGAAGAAGATGACACTTTACTGGTAAAAGTATATGTGGACAAAATATTTTTATACCCTTCTGTAAAGGAAGTTTAATCAGAGGAAAACTGATGAATTAGGAAAAATTCTCTACTTCAGAGGCTGCATAATGAATAAGTTTACATTTTTCTCACAGTGTTTTTGTAAACTGCAGAATAAGACAAAGGGAGGGAAGGGAGAAGAGAAAAAATATTTATGTCTCAAGACATAGAAGCCACATCCTCCTAACCTGCTGCCCTTTTTTCTCACTGCTCTGTTAAACAGTCAGCTGCTGCCAGATGCTCTGGCTAAAAATGGTCACAGATGGTCAGTTGTCCAGTTAACAGAGCAGAATGCTTTCCTCAGTCTCTCCCTAAAATGGTATCTGGGCTAGATGTAGCAGATGAGAAAATCTGATCATGGTCAAGAGGCCATTTGACCTAGTTAAGACTGCAGGTCAATTCTGATCATTTAGTCAAGATTAATTCTCCACTTGGCCCTAAGTTAAAGTAGGCCATATTGACACAAAAAACCCCAGTGTCAAGCTCTTCTGTGATTTTGCTGACTCTAGTACTGGTCACACCTTAAAAAAAAATCTGAAATAGCTCGTTATACCTGCATATAGAAGCACTTCCAAGTGACTTGTAAATCTTTATGCCAAATTCTACATCAGAAGACAGCAACACATTCTGACAGCAAGCTTGGGTCTGAGGTGGGCTACCACTAGGACCTAGATCAGGGGTGGGCAAAATACAACCTGTGGGCAGGCACCCATCAATTAATTGCATCTTGCCCAGCCCATAGCTGCCCCTGCTGCACTTGCATGGGGCCTGTGCCCTGCTCACTCCCACTGGGGCAACATGTTTTGCTCCTACCCTCAAGTAAGGGAGAGCCCCAGCCCCAACCCCAGCCCCAGCCAGTGCACAGATTCCAGGTGGGGCCAACTGCTGCCGTGGGAACTGCTCGGCTCCCCCTCGTGTCCCTGCAGCAGCGCTCTAGACAGCAGGTAGGGAAGTGCTGGTGGGCAAGGAGAAGCTGCAACTGGGTGGGAACAGAGCCTGGGGCTGGCACCCAATGGGGTGACAGGAGCGCAGAGCCTGAGTCTATTGCACAGGACTCCCAGTGGCTCACATGCAGCTCCTAGGACTCATGTGCCACCGGGGGGAAGCCCTGTGTGATGGAGCCGCTGGCCTTTGCTGCTCCCTGATGCCACATGCAGCTCCCAGGACTCTGCTGGAAGTGGTGCAGAGCCCCACACAATGAAGCCAGGCCAGTTCCGCTCCCTGCTTCCCAATAGTCCCCGGAGCTATATGTGGCAGCAGGGAGCAGGGTCAGGCCTCCAGCTCCATTGCACAGGGCTCTCCTTAAACTCATTAAGCGGCCCTACAGCTGAAATAATTGTCCACCCCTGACTTAGATGCTGATGCTACTTCGCCTTGCTGCCTGGCTGTGGTGCACCATGGGCAACCCTCCCCCCCACAAAAGAATGCCATCATTTCCATTTGCCACCCTCTTGCCCCTCCCGTCCCCTGACTCCACAGGTTAAATCCAATAGCTCCATGAGCTGGATCCATCCCACAAACCACAGGTTGCCAATAGCAAAGTTCTCTATTCTTTTAAGTATAGAAATATAGGTATTCTGCAACATATTATTATTCACTGAATTACTTTGACACCAAATCCAGACTCATGAACTTTATTTGTTGGGGGAGGGGGATAGAAGGTTTAATCCAATCTTGTTCCTTTATAGGTCTCATGTAGAGTTCTGTGATATAATTTTCCAAAATTTACAAAGTTTACGGCTTGTCTCTAGATGCCCTTTGACTTCATTGTTTCTTCATTATTTGTCCTTGACAAAGCATTGGGGGTAGGGGGGAGAAATAAATCCATATACTCACCCAAACCACTGATGGTATATTCAAGGTCTTTGACATCCAACAGAATTGGTCCATTCTCCTGCTGGCCTTCTTCCTTATAGTATAATTTGTACCCTTGAATAGTTGCTGTTTCCTCAGAGTCTTGCTGCCACCTTACTGTTATGGTTGTACAATTTAGTGGTTCCAAACGCAACTCAGGAGACTTTGGTGCTGTAGTTAGAAATTTTTTCTTTTTTACATTTTGAAACAAGTTACTTTTTGCAAATATATTTCTGCAACATTCTAGAATTCAAAACATCCCCAGTACTGCCCAAGATTTTAATTCTAGCCTCTCTCTACAATTCATTAGTTAATACTTTATCATGTAGACACATCCCAGGGCTAGCTCAAGGAAAGATTCACTTTGTAATTTAATATTTTCATTATGGAGAATAAATATGAGTTAAACATTTTAGTTTTTCTTGATTAGTTAGTCCCCCAAGTTATGCACTTGGCTTACTGCATTTTAAAATTGTAATATTATGTCAGATCTAAAGTTAGAGGTAACATTTAAAGTTATTCAGAGCTACAGTAATTAGCAGTAACTTCCTACTTCCCTTGTGCTCCAAGCATTTAACGTAGGATTGCATCTCCTACTGCAGAACACGAGCTCTGTGCACTTCATTAAGTACATTTAAGAAAAAACCCTCTACAAACTTTTTGGTGAATGTACATTAATGCTGAGGTGTATGACCATTAAGTACAATGCTACTGAGTAATGAGCTTGGCTACAAAAAAGTAAAATCCCTCTGAATCATACTGCTCAAGATAAAGTGACTTTACATGTGGAACACACATATGCGTAAGTATGACTGCATTGATGGGTGTCCATTAAGTAACCACATGCATGACTGGTATGGGTAAAGCCCAAACCACAGCAAATGTTTTTGGTACTAAACTGTAGTGCCATTACTTGAATTCTAAGTGTACAAGATACAACAAAAGCCTTCAAGATCACTGTTAAACAAGGCCAATTGGTAAAATGTTTGAGCTGCTTCTGCTTAGAAACAGAAGTTAAAATCCCTAACATAAAATGTCAAATAAATAATGATAAAATACAGAACTATACAATTAAAAAGCAGCACAGAGTAACAGATTAGCATTCTCATTTTTATACCTATAAAAAACCCAATACAATATAGGATAATTCAAATAATCATGTCTCATTCAAACTGTGCCACTGAAACAAGCTTGATAGCATTTTTTCATATTATATTCCATTTGCTTTTACATATTGTTTGTCTCTTACTGGGCACATCTACACAAGATACTTTACTGAACAGTAAGCATGTGCATCTAGACACGTACATACTATGCAGTAAACCTTGCTAATTGCGAGTAAATTGGCTACCTGCAAATTCAAGTAGCAAATTAACTTTCGATTAGTAACGGTGCAGTTGTGCTTGTGTAGACACCTGACCAGGAGCAAATCTGCTCCTGGTCAGCTGTCCAACAGAGGGTGGGAGATTGCTCCCTGTTCCCAGGAGCTGCTTGTGAGATCACAATCAGGGAGCAAGGGGCTGGGAGATCCTTATCTTCTGGTGCCAGCTCCACAACTGCAGAGCTGGTGCCAGCACAGCTGAGCTGGCGCTAGGAAATAAGGATCTTCCAGCACTGGCCCCATGTGGTAGCTCCCTGCTGGTGGGGGCTGGGGAGCCTGTTCTCTGCTCAGCTCCATGAGTGCATAGCTGGGTGGGAAACAACCTCCACTGCAGCTCTTTCCAAGTCCCCTGCCCTTGATCAGGGAGTCAGAGCCAGAAGCTCCCTGCTGCCATGGCTGCCCTAGCAGCAAGAAGCCCCCATGGGCAGAGCATAATGTCCCAGCCCTGGCTAGGAGCCAGCGGTCTCCTGGCCTCCTGCCAATCCCTGGGTTAGCACCCAGAGAGAGCCTAGAGCTCCCCCGGTGGCAGCACAGGCCTACTGCAGGGCCCTAGGAAGTAGGAGCAGTTTGCTGCCATTAGCAGGAAATCTGTTCCCGCTTCCCTGCATCCATAGATGCCTGCCCTGGACTGTTTACTCACATGTAGTTTACTTATGAGTAAACTGATCCTGGATCAAACGCATGTATAGATGCACCCACTGTATGCTATCCTGACCCTTTGTTGGGAAGCCTATAAATCTGAATATATATACACATACATTTAAATAATTAAAACAACCACGTGGTGCAACTTCACTCCTTGTGATTACAAACACAAAATGAGAATTTATAGCAACATGTGCTCAGCACAACAGCAAATGCAATGGAAAAGCCTTGTTGAGGTATTTTCCTCCCACAGGGTACAGATTAAAATACATTTGGGACTAAGTACACAATGCTCCTTTCTTCAAAGGACCTTAGCAAAGAAGAATTACCCTTCACACTTGTGGCTTTTGGAGTCCGGTGGGAGGTCCACAGAGATGCTTCTCCCCAGCCTATCCTTGTCGCTGCAGTAATACGAACCAAGTAGACACTATCAGGCTTCAGGCCTTCCAGAAGATGTTCATTTGCAGTCCCTGGAAGCTCTACAACTTGGATAGCACTCTCTGTGCTGAGGCGGTAAGACAAACGGTACAGGACCACTTGGCCTCGTCTGTATTTGGATGGTATTGGCAGCCAGGAAATAAGAATATCTGTAGGACTTCGACTTGTCAAACTAATTTCAGGAGCTCTCAAAGGAACTAAAAATAAAAAATAAGACTAGGTATCTTTTTTAAAGCACACAGGGGAAAAGCGGATGAAAACTCTTAACCTAGTATCTACTATTGTGAGTTTTCAGTAAAATTGTCCTAGAAAAAGCTGGAAAGCCAGCTAAAAAGATCTGGAGGATAGAGACACAAGAAGAGATCATTCTAAAACTGATCACAGTTCCTTATGTAATAGGAACCCTAGCAAGCCTGCTCTTGGAAGTGGCTCAGCACTTTCCACCTGTCACCAGCTGTTGTGGTAAGAATCAGCATCATGCGGAACTACTGCGTCCGACCTGAGCAGTTTTGCATTAATACAAGTATTAATTAAATTAATACACATATTAGCTGTATCACTGCATAGGAAATAAGGGGAAGACAGTATTTTCTGAACATCTAAGATATCGTAATAACCACTTTTAACTAAAAAAAGTTTCCTCAATTGTTTAAGGGTCTCTTAGATAGAAATGGTAATTTCCCCTTCAAAAAGATGAAGCAAAGATTGTTTAAGTTATATACATTATCATTTCAACAGTGTATGAATAATACAACTAACTGTGTGCATGAACAATGAATCTTACTGCTAGCAGGGTAAAAGAGGGCATTAGAATCCTAAAACCCCACAAATTATTAACACTTACTTAATGCTACAAACAATTGTTAAGGAATAGAGACCAGCCTTTTGAATCATTCAGTAACAACATGTTCTTTCAGCATAAAATAAATACACCCTGCATAACATGGAATGTTTTTTTATTCTCACTTTTCAATTGCTGGCTCAGTTTTGCATTTGTACGTACACAAAAGTGCCAATGATGTCAGTGGGAATTCAAGATATTCCAAGAGCATTAGCACAGGCTTGGACATCTGGTTTCAGTGCAAATAAAAATGCTTATTTTACTCTGCCACATTTATTTAACTTACCATCTTCAAGGGTGTGTTGAGTCACATGATCTGACATCTGACTAGCTCCCATGGGCATGTAAGCCACAATATAAAAGGTGTAGTTGCTGGCTGGTTCCAAGTCATCAATAATGTAATGAGTTGTGTCATTTCCAATAACCACCTGATATTCTTCATTATTTAAACCTGGAATAAAAGAGGAGATAACAGGAACAAAAATTGCTGTCAGTTCTTAGCACAAGAAGATCCAAGGGTGGTGACTAAATCTATCTTTCTGGTCCTGCAAGTTTAAGGAGTTTATTTCTTTTTTAAAATGATCCAGATAAAGGAAGCCTTTTGTACATGGAAGTAACTGTGTCTTATAGATTATGGTGGCTCAGGATTTTTGGTTGAATAAAAAATGCTGAATACAATTAATCAATTCTAAAACCCCTTTCTAGAATTAGTCACAACAATTTGTGCCCAGTGTACAGTAACACAACAGACAAGCTCTAATAGCTTTATCATTCGTAGCAAGTCTTTAAATCTATTTGTTTCGAACCAGTGTGCTTTTTCAAAACCTATTTACAGAGGTTTCATATTAGACTGTGAAGAATGTGAAGGCTTCATTCTTTTTTTAAAAACAACAACAAAACAAACAGAAAGAAGTCGTTCTGCAAAGGATCTCATTTTAGCCTTGAG